GCGGGCTCAGGCAATCCACTCACCTCAGCCTCCCAAAGGCGCGGGATTACAGGCTGAGCCACCGAGCCCGGCTTATTTGTATTCTTAAATATCTTCCCTTTTTGTTTGTTATTCAGCAGTTTCACCATTAAGTGTCTAAGAGTTGATTTCTTTTAATTATTCTGTTTGGGAATCAGTGAGCTTTAAAAATCTTTGGATTAGTGTCTGTGGTATGCAGAAAAATAGATTCCCAAACATGTCTATGTCTTCATCTTTGGAACCTGTAAATATACTTAAAGTTTAAAATGAATTAAGACTGCTAATTAGCTGATCTCAACATAGGAAGATTATTTGATTGGGCCCGATGTAACCACAAAGATCCTAAAAATTGCAAAAGGGAGGCAGAAGAGGAAGTCAGAGTGATGTGATGTGAGAAATATTTTGGTCCATTTTTTTTCTGGGTTTAGAAAAGGGGCCAGAAGCCAAGGAATGTAGGCAACCACTAAAAGCAGGAAAGGACAAAGAAACAGATTATTTCCTAGAGCTTCCAGAAAGGAATGCAGCCATGTCAGCACCTTTATTTTAGCTATTTAACATAAATGTTAGGCTTCTCACTTCTCTAATGCAACAGACTTAGATTATACAGTCTATCTTTCATAAAGTTCACACAATTCCAGCCAGCAGGAAATACACGTCCCTCTTTAGAACTCTCTTAACACATCATAGTTCACTTACGACCCTTATCACTTTGCTGTTGGTCACTTGTATTCATTGCAGGATTGTCTGAAGTAAAATTATAAAAAAGGTAACAGAAGTGCATTCACCAATGAGTACATAAAAAGCTAAATGGTTATTTTATGATTTTTAATAGATTTTATTTTTCATAACACTTATAGATTCACAGTAAAATTGAGGAGAAAGTCAGAGATATTCCATATAACATCTGTCCCCGCTCAAGCACAGCCTACTTCATTATAAATATCTCCCATCAGAATGATGCATTGTTACAAATGGTAAACTTACATTAATACATCTTCATCACCCAGAGTCCATAGTTTACAATAGGGTTTGCTCCTGGTGTCATAATTGTATGAGTTTGGACAAATGTGTAATGGCATATATCCACCATATAGTATCATACACTGCCCTAAACATCCTCTGTGCTCTTCCTATTCATCTGTCTTTCTCAGAACCCCTGAAAACCGCAGATCATTTAACTATTTCTATAGTTTTGCATTTTCTAGATTACATAGTTGGAATCATACTGTGTATAGACTTTTCAGACTAGCTTCTTTAACTTATTAGGTTGTATCCAAGTTTCCTCCCTGTACTTTTGTTTTCTTGTTGTTGTTGTTGTTTTGCTTAATATCTCAGTTCTTTTTATCACTGAGTAATATTCCATTGTCTGGATATACTACTTTTTTTATTCATTCACCTACTGAAGAACATCTTGCTTACTTCCAAGTTTTGGCAATTGTAAATCAAACTGCTATAAAATCTATGTGCAGATTTTTTGTGTGAACACAGATTTCAGTTTTTGGTAAACCATCAAGGAGTGCAATTATTGCATCATATAGGAAAAATTTATTTAGTTTTGTAAGAAACTGTCAAACTGTCTTCCAAAGTTGCTTTAT